GTTTGGTCCCAGTTCTGACACAAGGACAATACATAAGGGGAAATCGCCCTGGTGGGGGAAATAGCAATGAATATCTGAGAGGTTCTAAACCTTTCCACTAGGGATGCAACGATACTTTTCGAGCGCCAGTGCAGATACTTGGCATTTTCATGAGAACTACCAGGGTTGCAGCGGTTGCAGCTGGGACCTGGCTCTGGGGCTCCACCACTGTCCTGAAATCATTAGTCTGTATTGTTTTAGAAAAACTGTCACATGACAATAAACAAAAATGTATCAGTACTCGTACTTGTAGGTACTTGGGCAAGTATCGGTACGTGTACTCACAAAACTGGTATCTGTGCATCACTTTATTTATATTTATAAAAACAAAATCGTACATTAAAACAGAGATGTACAAATCCCAGGAGCTCCGTGTGCTCCTTACAAATGACAGCTGCCTTCTAACTTATGAATTTTTCTCTAGTCTAGTCTTGGAGCTTGAAAAGTATCGGTACACGTACTTGTACCGAGTACTGTACTTGGTATCGGTGCATCCCTGCTTTCCACTTTAAAATAAACGTAAAAAAAGCATGTTATTGTTCACCTTTAATCCACTAGAAAAGGATGCCCCCGCTGTTAAACCCTCCAAATTGATTGACTCATTTATTTGCTGTGCTAGTCTTCTTTATGGTGCGCACTGTAAGATAGGGATGTATTAATTTCACGCATAATAGCCAGACATAAGATACATGCGTATCTTCCATTTGGGTTACATAAGATTCACTATTCTTCCATGTCCTTGGCTGATAACTAAGCACAGTATACATGCTTAGAAGAAGTCTGTTAGGTGACACTACTGACTTTTTCCAGAAAGTTCTGGATCTGGTGAGTAACTAACCCTTAAAAAGTAACTGGTTCCAGGTCACTGACTTACTAGTTTGTGGAGCAATAAACGAGGACAAGACCACCAGGGCTCCCAGCTGTAGAAACATTTCAGCTAACATACAGTATGTGTACTGAACTACAAACCTCAATGGCCAGCAGAACTATTTGTATATTTGGGACTTATAAGAAACTCAGAAATGAAAATGAGGGAAAAGCAACGTGACCGCTCACATTTTGTATTTCATTCTCTGTAAAAATAAAAGAAATCAGATTGGCCACTGTGGAAACAACTCAGTTTTTTGTTCTCATTTCTTTCTTTATGACTAGTCCCTTTGCTGGTAAAAGCTTACTCCTACAGCACCGGGGGGACAATCTTCTTAGGAAAGATCTCCTCTTTCAGTTCTTATGGTTGTCATACAAGTCTCTATGGTAGTAAATCTACCACAGCTCCAAAACAATATATTTTTCCAGAACTATTTCTGTACACGATACACTAGAAGACTAAACTACATCAGCCTACTGAGATACAAATATGGTTATGCAAAATATTCAGAACTATTTTATAATGCATTTCTGCATGCCCTTCTTTTGCTCACTGAGTTTTAATAAAAGACTGAACAAACACACTTCCTAATAACTGAAAATAACAAATATATATACACAAAGTATTAATATGACCACTGGAGAGCAGTAACAAATAAAAGGTCGTATTTTACAAATGACATCCAAGAGGATGTATAGAATTCCTAATAAATAATACTTGTATAAATAGAGGATTGTGGTTAAGCCCTTCTATACACTCATGGATTCTAAATCCTTTGCCTAGAGGAAGAAATGGTGACTTTTTGTGGCAACATTCTTATAGTAATTAAAAAATATGTACTGCAGCACGGAATTATAAGTGCATCCACACTTGTAGTTTTCTCTTAGTCCCCCTTTCCCACAAATGCCTGTTGAGCCTGCCAATGAAGTCCACCGAATGTAGTTTCCTGTGATGGTGGTGACAAAGCTGCACTGCTCCCGGACTCCTAGCAAAGTTTCCACTCCCACGTACGCTGTGCCTTGCACTAAAGTCGGATGAAAAAGAATGTTGCAGCGGAAGTGGATGTCAGCATTTTTACTGGAGATTCACAAGTATGTAACCGTAGCACCTATCCACACCTAGTCCGGCCCAATGCTTTCTGGGCTGGCCGTACTGCCTCTGCCGCTGAAATCCTCCCACTGGGAGCTGCAGTGTCTGGGGCAGGGAGCATAGGAGACACAAATGAAGCTTACTCAGTAAAGGAAGTTTGTTGCATTTATGAGGCTTATGGATCACAACTGGATTTGGTACTTGTTTAGACCCTCATACGGGAGCCTTTTACTAAATATCCTGCACATTCCCTGCTGCAATATATTTCTTTATTTTTCTGGCAGTGTTTGTTAATAATTGTAAGGAAAATGATACCCCCATGAAAAATAATAAAATTATATCCATCTCTATCTATCTATCTATCGCGCCACAAAGGCCCTTTTGTTATTAAAAAATACTTCTCCCTTTTAATGTGCAATCCTATTTTTTAAAATTGTTGGAGGTTTAAATTGTTACACTCTTGTAACAGAGTTCTTTCCTGTACATTGCGCTTGGCTTGTGTATTCCCAGCAGTGTTAAACTTGTTACAATACTATAACTAATCATATAGTTACAGTAGGGGGTCCTAACACCCTTGCAAAGTATTTACCTATCTGACATAGACTGTTTTCCCCCTCAAGAGCAGTGAAGTTATTCTTTAGGACCTAATCCATCGAAAACCAATAATCCAATTAGGAGTGACGTGTTGAATCACCTACTACATTCTTATATCTCTGGGACTCCAATTATAAGATCTCACTGCTGGTGATCCTGCCTTTTACACCTATATAACCATTGATTCCCAGTGTTCTTGGTGTATTTTCCATAATATAAAAGAAAAATAGGTGGGTGACACTCTCTCATAACGGATGCGGTCAAATAAGCAAGTCTGAGAAATCCACAGCAGAGATCTTGTAACTGTATTGCCAAGAAATATACAAAGCAAGTGGGTGACTGATCTTGGCAATATCATCCCATAACTGAAACATCAAGTCTAGGCAGTCGGTATACTCTACTCTAGAATTGTAGGTGAAAATGGGTTAAATGCAGAAAAAAGCAAATCATATTCAATCCATCACATCAGCTCACTTGGCCTGCGCACAGCACAGACTACACAATGTTCCTGTTTAGGTCAATGAGCAAATGACCCCCTGCATATGTTTAGATAGGTAGCTGATAAAATGATCGATGTATGACTTTCCGATAAGTCAAAAGATCAAGACTGGCACACTTGAATGCCCATGGGAGGAGGCATCCACTACAAAGGCATAAAACAAACTGGCCTGATTTGTGCTAGCTAAAGAAGTCAGTATTATAAAAAGGGAATATTAGCATAACTGTGCTTTTAAAACATGCTAGTCTCTTAACCATATCCGGGAATACTAAATATAACCTATCACTTCTGCCTCTTCTTTCCCTGTGCTTCTAGAGTTGCTATCGCAGGCCTGGGCCAGTAAAAACATTGGTTTATATTTAACTGGTCTGTAGCCTGCATGGTAACTACAGACATGGACTAAGAACAATACAAACACCTGATTCACATACATGGTATACTTGATATGCATAAAAACTCACTTATTATCATTTTTTTTAACTTTGACTCCTTACTGTTACAAGCCCGGTACACCAGGGATGTGGGCTGGTATTCTGATGGTTAGGAAACGAGGAGTACGAGGGCCCCTGTCATGTTGATACCAGCCGACGTGCCCTTTAGTATTAAGCACTGATTAGACAAGGGGCACCAAAAAGGGGCAGCTCCTTCAACAGAATCATTGACTGATACTTATGGACAATACTTCAGCACCCCCAATGTGGCTACCTCCTCTTCTTACTTCTTACACGACCCAGTTTACCATGTATATATGATAAGAAAAGGGTGAAAAAAAAACAGCCAGTTTATTTAAATATATATGTAATTCTCTAAAGGTAATTAACTGTATCCAGTGGTATATACCACACTGGGTTTCTTTTTCATCACTTTATTCCATTCTGGGATACCTAATAAGGAAGCACAAGCTCCCCCTTTCTCTTCTAGCCCTCCAGCTAGAGTATTTTAAGTATAATGTGTGCTTTATTTTAACTCTTTGTTTACCCACACATGGTTAACTGGTTATACAAAAGGACAGCAGCCCTCCAATGCAGGTGGCCATCTGGGCTGGTACCAGTATGGCATAGGACTGCAGGCTCACTGCCACTCTTTAACCTGGCAAATGTGCTTCATAAGTAGAGTGAAATAAGCCATGGCAGCATTTTGGTGAATTCACAAAGTAACATTTTAAAACAAGCCCCCCAAGTTTTTACACAGGAAATAAAAGTCCCCCAAGTGGGGGATCAACAACACATGCACTTTGTTTAGTAACATATGAAGCATGAGATTAACTCTTGAGTTATTTCTCAATTACAATACAATGACTTCAATTGTGTGCAAATATGGCAGTGGGCAATAAGGGAATATCTTATGCTACTAAGCGATTACAAATCTCAGATATATCTGAGCCCTTAGCCCCATCATTAGCAAATGGCACTAAAACCTAACAGACTCCTCAAATCCTTCTCTTTATATACAGAACATATTTGGATTTTCTCTCAATCATTAAATTTCTGTTGAACTATCCAGTGAACAAAAGGCCATTGTAACACATTTACATCTAGTTAAAACTGCTATTTCACAAATGTTCAGACTTTAAGCAGCAATTAGTGTCTGGCATTAAAAGTAATGAACTTAACGCTATAGAAATAAATACAGTGCAATGTGACCTGCCGTTTTGGAAGTAACCAGCCCCAGCAATAAAATGTTGTTGCATGAGTCTATTGGCTGGGTAGAAGAAACACTGCCCTCCATTCTGCTGTTCCGTCACATTATACAATAATACACCGTTATGGGAAGAATGCAAATAAACTATTTGGCAGGACAGCACTAATTGATATTTAGCAATGGCTTGAAGTGGGGGCTGAGCATGTACAGTTTATACATAGGGTAATTATCCTGTGCAAAAATCCTCTCAACGCCCTTTCTTTATGGAATGTTAAATCAAATTTCTGTCTTGCGTTCACTCAGCATCTCCTTAGCAGGGGCTCGCTGTGAGGCAAAATTCCTTTTTCCACATTACTCTCTTCAGGCAGCCTTTAGAAAACATGGTGTCACTGTTGGGTTAAACGCAATGCAGTCGTTTCATAGAAATAAGGCCTGCTTGGTTGTAGTCACATCTAGCAGTGCTTGAACGGTAATGCTCACTTTTACCAAGCCCTTTTCTTCTAGGATGTGATGTGGTAAACAAAGCTTCTCCTACAAAACAAAATCACATAACATATAAGAGCAAGACCACAAAAAAAACCAACACTGTTATGAAATGATTTCATGCATGAAGATGACAAGTTATATATAATAGATATGAAATTCTTCCTACAAGACAAAGATCTTCCCATAGGTTTCTATTTTAGGCTGCATGCTTCTCGCATAGTATGAGAATGCAGCTTAAAGCATTTTTTAGCATTTAAAAGCCTAAAACAAATTCAGAGCAAGCTACACCACCCCCAACCTGATAAAAGTCATACATGATTTCTCAGGCCAATCAGAGACACAATTTCAAATCTTAAAAGGGTTCCAAAAATTTTTCCTTGAAAACTATTGAAAGCCAAAACTTTTTTTCAGTTGTGGATAGAGTTGGAATTTTTTTTTGTTGGAGACAAATAGCATCCCTATTTCTAGTGGTGGCCATTGTTATTAGAGATGAGGAATCCAAAATACAACAGTTGTCACCTTAACAAGAATAGAGAGGAAATCTCTTAAAAGTAACAACTGTTCAGGAAGGAATTACCCCTCACAATGCAGAGATTGCCTCTCACTTCCTATTTTGTCTTCATGACAGGAAGTAAATGGAGATTTCCTCAATCAGATGTAGGGCCAATTTAAACAGAAGACAGACATAACTATCTGCTCTCCAATATACTCTGCAGTATTGCTCAGTACCACAGCCTCCATTTTGTGACCCATTTATAAAATTAAAGCTGTGGTGTTGAGCTTGTAGTAGTTCATGAAATTCTCTGTTTAACACAGAAACTCTGCAAACTCTGATTGAAAGAGAGCAGGTCATGCAACTTTGACAGATCACATGACCAGGCTCTCCCCCTGGCTTTCTATTTATTTCTTTTTTTCAAAACCCGTTCATTTTTATTGTACTCCACAGGCTTGGGATGCTCAATGGACATTGATACGGTACATCACTGTACTTTATGAATGTACACATTTTAGTGGTGCAGCAGCAAAATCACATTATGGCCATACCACTGCTATTTAATGTACTCCACAGAAAAAAGAAAATAAAAAAGGGTCAAGGGGGTTATACAATTCCCTAATCTATCCAAACTGTAAAAAGAAAGAAAAACAGAAAGCTTTTGGCTTTATACACTGAGTGGTCAGATTATTATGACCACCTGACTTTTGTAGGCACTAAGATAAAACGTCTCCAATTCGCACAGGAACACAAGGATTGGCCAGTCGAGCATTGGAAGAAAGTCACGTGGTCCGATGAATTACGTTTCCAGTTGCATCATGCAGATGGCAGAGTGAGAATTTGGCGGAAACAGCATGAAAGCATGCACCCCACATGCATGAGTACAACCCTTCATGCTGGTGGGGGCAGTGTTATGGTTTGGGGCATGTTTTCCTGGCATGATTTGGGCCCTTTAATTTGTGTGGAACAACGTCTGAATAGCACAACATACCAAAGTATTGTTGCTGATCAAGATCATCCTATCATGTTGATGGCGTCTCCCAATGGAGATGGCTTCTTCCAACAAGACGATGCGCCATGCCACGGTGCTCGTATTGTGCAGGAATGGTTTCAAGAACATGAGGGAGACTTTATCTTGAAAGAGCCATCAGGCAGCTGGTTCCACAACCATCAAATCTCACAGAACTGGAAGGTGCTATTCATCAGGCATGGTGTCAGATTCCTCGCATCACCTTTCAACATCTCATGGAGTCAATGCCAAGAAGGATCGCCGCAGTATTGAAGGCAAAAGGTGGCCCAACAAAGTACTGATGGGGTGGTCATAATAATCTGGCCACTCAGTGTATATACTTTAAGCAAAATCTAGTTGTTTTTTTCCTAGTGTATCTATTTTTACTTCTGAGATACGATCCATACTGCCAGCCAGTCACCGTTATGCACATAAAGATACATAGAACTCTATAAGCTCAGTGAAAGGCTTAGTGCTTCACCTCCATATCATACCTCTTCTTCTGTGTTCAAGGTGTGAATCTGAAACTCTCTGCTGACCTTTCAATTTAAGCTTCAACAAATTTCATGCATATCCATGCTTTTAAAACTGTGCATGCATATTATTATTATACAGGATTTATATAGGGCCAACAGTTTGCACAGCGCTTTACAAAACTGAGGGAGACAATACAATTAACAATACAATTTCAGTACAGGAGGTGCCTGCTCGTGAGTAGTGATGGGCTTGGGTGTGTTCGCAGCTCCACGTGCCGAGCCTGCCAGGAAGCTGACAGCGCCAATCACAGGCACTGAGACATTTCCCGATCTGCAGCTGCGGACCGGGAAAATGTCTCAGTACCTGTGATTGGCGCTTCACGTTGACAGCTTCCTGGCGGGCTCTGCACGTGGAGCTGCGAACCCGCCCGAGCCCATCACTACTCGTGAGAGCTTACAATCTAGTAGGAGGGACAAGTGATACAAAAGGTAATAATTGTTTGGGATGATTTAATGAAAGAACTGAAAGTACTGTTATATCAAAGTGGGATAGGCTTCCCTGAAGAGATGAGTTTTCAGGGATGGTCTAAAGCTTCCCGATCTCTGCAGCTGCGGACCGGGAAAATGGAATGCATAGCTAGAGGTGTGTTTTAAATATTTTTTTGCTTGAATACATACATATTGCACCCGCCCTCTGCTGCTGTCAATCACTAGAAGGGGACCTGATGGAGAACTTCAGGTCCCCCTCTGCTGATTGGCAGCATAAGAGGGCGGGTGCAATAGCTAGTTTGCTATTGGCTTTTGCAAAGTGAAATAGCCAATAGGAATCTAGCTATGCATTTCTTTGGGGGGGGGTTTCTGACTTACGGCGGCCCCAGATTTAAAAAAAAACTAAAAACAGAGCAGAGAAAGGTCCCGACTTTTCCGGGAGAAAGTTTTTCTCTCCCGGCGGCCGAGAGCCACTAGGCGACCCCTGGCAAATCGTCATTCGACCCCCGAGGGGGTCCCGACCCACAGGTTGAGAACCACTGGTCTAAAGGTTGACAGAATAGGAGATGCATATCCATGGTTACATCCACGATGCACATACCAAACTATTTATTGCAATGCAAAACATAAGAAGAACCAGTTTATTATTAGTCTAATAAAATTGATTTTGTAAATTTCCCATCTAACATCCCAAAACTTCTAAAATGGAGCTTGTTAATTACTGCCACTTTATTCCCTTAACACAGCAGTTCCCAACCTGGGGTACATGCCAAGACGTTTGGAGGTGCAAAAAAAAAGCAGGCAGCTGGACTGCACAACATCATGTATTTCTGTGGTGCTGGTGGCATGCCGGCGCACCATGGAAGCACATGATGCTGATCCAGGGCAGGTGGCACCAGTGTTACTTTTGGGAGCCCCTTGCTGCGCCTCTTCCTGTCTGTGACAGTGGGTGAGTTGTGGCTGTACTTTGAAACTCACCGCTCTGCAGAGTGGGACATGTAATGGGAGTCAAGGTGGAGAAGGATGGGCAGCGGAAGCTGGAACAGGAACAATGGGGAGCTGGTGTGACAGACCGCTGCTGCTGTGTGAGCCCGGGAGAGGGACACCGGGGATGCTCAGTTACAGGCACGGGACATCAAAGCAGATGAGTCTGCTTCTGGCTTGAACCCCCCCAGTTGACCTGTGGCTTTCCATTTGCCACCTCCAGTTCTGCATGGCACTCTGTCCTGGAAAAGTAGTGCCACTGCAGCTGGGAGTGCACAGGCAGCAATGTACTAGGGCAGACATATTGGTATTGCACCGGGCCTTGGTGTTTGCAGTTCTGACCATTGTCGTAAAGGAGTATGCTGCTCAGCTGCAGAGTTTATAAAAGTTCTCTGGCCCATGACTACCATCACACCACCTAAGAGCAGCAGAACAGATACACAAAGCAGAGGAATGCAGGACTGATGCTAAGGTGAAAAAACAGGGTGCAAAGTAGGCACTAACAAGGCACAGAGCAGGTGCCAGCACATCACAATCTGGGCGCTAACGAAGCAAGGCAGGCACAAACACTGCGCTAACTGGAGGCATTGAAGGGGGAGACCCAAGGACTGGAGGAAAGGGGAACAGAGACAGTTATTTTAATAAGGAGAGCAGGGAAGGATGGGGGGCTGTAGTTGGAGAATCAGGATGGTGCCTACTCAGGCCTGTAGTTTGGTCCTGTCAGGTAAGCTGTACAAGGCCCCAATGTTTTCTAATGGCAGCCCTGATCCCAGCTAGTCACTCTGTTCTCTCTATAGACTGTGCTGTATCCCTGCAGAGAGCAGAGCACTGTGCACTTATTAGACACATATTCTCTGTAGGAGATAAGCACAAACCTAACTGGAACAGACATGGTTAGTGGAGTGATTAGTAGACTCATATGCACGCTCTTCACTCCTGGCTGGCCTTCCTGTTAGTATATGGGTGAGCAACAGCAGATTTGTCAGGTTACAGGAGAGCTGAGCATCAGGCTGCTTTCACACATCTTCTCCGCATTTCTTTCTTCCAAGCTCTACATTCCAGCTACCCCAAGATGAGATGTAATTCTATAACTTTGCTATCCTTCAGCACATTAAATTTTGGTTCAGCATGGTGTGTTCAGTGTTCCACTATTGGTCAACCCCTATTCCACCCTCTGTAAGGGGGGTACAATGTATTGAAGTGGGTAGCCAAGACGTGAGCAAGTGAAAAAGGTTGGAAAGCACTCCCTTAATAGAAAGGATTGGAGTACATCCAGCCAATTTACTGCTAGCAAATTTCCTCCGAACCTTGTATCAGATGTGTGCTGGTGAAAATCTCCAATTAATTATACTGTGTCAGTCGGCAGTGTGATGCCTGTCTTCAGTGTGGTCTGACGCATTTATTTCAGGAATGTTTTACTTTCCAGACATCTGGAGAGCACAAGCCTCACAGATGAGAATGGTCCAGGAAGTTTTTCTCAGATGGATTTTGACATAATATGCCAATTAAAAGCATATTTTAAAATAATGCTCCATGTATAAAGTTGTAATTGGTGAGTAAACACACTAGAAAAGGAATCTGTTCAACTAGAAAT